CCACCTTAAACAGACAACTATAGCACAGACACAATTCACCTCGCAGCACCATAGCATCTTCTCGTCCAAAACCAGGGGAGTGTCTATCTTAACCAGTAAAGATGTGTCTTTTAAGCTGCTATACGAATCCATGGATACACAAATGAGGTATGTAATATTAGTGTGTGAAATCAACAACTTGGAACACACAATAATCAACATGAATGCACCCAACACAAACCAGAGGAACTTTTTACACAAACTAATCACACAGCTTACACCGGTTCAGAGAGGTGTCACCATCATATGCAGGGACTTGAACCACATTCTGGATCCACGATGGGACACCACGGTCCCGCCCCACACCCCCAGATCAGCAACACTGACAGGAGAATGTAAGCCATTAATGTGGCTACTTAGTGAACAAGACTTGTACGATGCATGGAGGGTGCTGCACCCAGAAGAGAGAGACTATACTTTCTTCTCCCAAGTGCACAATACCTACTCACGCATAGACGGGTTCTACATGAAGGGCACGTTCCAAAACCAACTAAAGGATTGCTCCAAGGGCACCATCACGTGGGCCGACCATGCCCCAATAACCTTAGAACTACAGGATGCCTATGACTATAAACATCACAGCCCCTGGCGGCTCAATGAATCAATATTAAATGATGAGCGTTTCTGCAAGCACTTAGACACAGACATTAAACAGTACTTCGCAACAAACACGCATCCAGACATCTCCCCTTAAACCCTCTGGCAAGCTCACAAGCCAGTAATCAGGGGACTGATCATAGGGAAAGCTAGTGCACTGAAACAGAAATCACAGGTGAAACTGAAAGGCTGGCTGAAAACCCTATACCACCTCAACAAGCAAAATCAACTGACCCCGACACCGACTTTAAAAGCACAAATAAAGGAGAAGTTAGATGAAATTAGGGAACACGACCTAGCAAAAATGGGATTCAGCCTTAGGAAACTCAAAGCGACGCAATACACACAGGAAAACAGGGTGAGCAAACTTCTAGCTAGGAGACTATCACACAAAAGCGCAAACGCCAAGATCCCATATTTAATAAACTCGAACGGGGAAAAAAGGGTGACACCAAAGGAAATCAGTGACATCTTTGCAGACTATTGCACGACCCTGTACAACCTAGGGCAAGACCCAAACACGGCACAGCCAAGCCCTGAAAACATAGAACGCTACCTTGACAGTATAACCTTGCCCTCCATAACTGGGGAACAAATAGAAACCCTACAAGCCCCTATCACTGAGACAGAAGTTCTACAAGCCATCACACGTCTCCCCTCCGGGAAGGCACCAGGCCCAGACGGTCTCACGAACACATACTATAAGAAATTTGCTGGAGCTCTGGCCCCACACCTACCTAACCTATTTAATGCCTCCATGCAAAAGAAGAAGCACCTGCGGACATGCTAGGAGCCCATATTGTTACACTACCCAAACCGGGAAAAACCCCCACATGCAGCCAAAACTTCAGGCCAATCTCGCTGCTCAACACAGACACCAAGTTATATGCAAAAGTACCAGCCACTAGACTAACCCACATCCTCCCCACATTGATACATGATGACCAAGTGGGCTTCACCACTGGTCGACAAGGGTCTGACAATACAAGGAAGGTAGTGGACCTAGTGCATAGTCTACTTCGGAGCCAGGGAGGAGTCATCCTTCTCTCCCTGGACGCTGAGAAAGCTTTTGATCATCTCAATCGGTCATTCCTGGAAGCTGTGCTTCATAAATACAAATTTCCCCAGAGGTTCTTGAGCGCAGTAAAGGCACTGTATTCCCACCCCACAGCAAGAGTACTCAACGCAGGTTTCATTTTCAAACAAATCAAGATTACTAATGGATCGAGAAAGGGCTGCCCCCTGTCCCCGCTACTGTATATCCTAGCGTTGGAACCACTGGCAGCAGCCATAAGAGCGGAACGATCCATACAGGGAATAACCCTATGGGACAGAGAGTACAAACTCAACCTATTTGCGGACGATATCCTGGTGACAATTACACAGCCCTTAATATCACTGCCAAACCTAATGGCACAAATACGTGAGTATGGGGCTGTCTCATACTATAAATTAAATGTCACCAAGACACAAGCCCTAGGGATAGGACTGAATGAAGATCTAGTGGGCAGACTGAGAACGGCATTTCCACTGGACTGGAGGAACAACTATTTGACGTTTCTAGGGCTTAAACTTCCCAAAAACCCAGCACATCTATTTAAACTAAACTACGAATGCCTACATAAAGAATTCATAGACACCATGCAAACATGGAAAGGGAAATTTATTTCATGGATGGGCCGCATAGCAGAGGTAAAAAATGACACTCATACCCAAAATCAAATATCTCTTTCGCACACTACAAATACCCATCCCGAAACATTATTTAAAAAACATGCAACACACCCTCAGCACATTCATATGGGAGGGGAAAAAGGTAAGAGTAGCCGCAGGAATGTTGCAACAAACTGTGCGCAAAGGCGGGTTGGGCCTACCAAATCTAACGGCGTACTACGGGGCAGCATACTTGCACAACATAGTACAAATTAATCTCCCCGCCCACGCCCCACAATGGGTAGCAATAGAATCCCACTGGGCACCCCATCACGACCTCCGAGTAGTCTTATGGCTACAGAAGTGCCCAAGACACATATGGGAGGCCCTACTGCCTTGCACACAGAACCTGTTAAGAGTGTGGGGAACAACGAGGAACAAGTTGGTGTCTAATCCCCAGCTACCTATGGCCACGCCAATACAAACAATAGGCATAGAGATTCCCATATTCACCTGGGATACCTGGAGGAGAGGGGGAATACACCACATATACCAAGTCATTGACAGGGGTAGACTGAAAACGCTCCCAGCCATCCAGGCAGAAAACGCTCCCAGCCATCCAATTGCTTCAAAAACTATTGCCTAACCCAAGGTTGGATAACCCGCAGGAGTGTATCCTGTCTATGTTACCAGGGGGCATCCCAAAACATATTAGAGTCATTATATACCACACTTTGATATCAGCGAGCCTACTGATTTCTAGGCTTTGGAAAAAAAACACAACTCCATCAATAGCCATTCTCCTACCTAGAGCTCAAATCGTATGTGTCAGACAAATTAAAAGACCAGCTAGGACTAGATGACAAAAAAAAACATGACGACCTTTGAACAATGTGTAGGAACTGTGCCATTCAAGAAGACAATGTTCTGGGGGTACCAGAAGCTAGTTTCAACACAAACACACACACTAGAGCAGATCAAAATAGATTGGCACAGAGAAATAGGCCAGACATTCCCAAACGAAGAGTGGGGCAGGGCATATTCGGCCCATAGAGGGCTCACCGCGCGCCCCACCCATCTAGAATTGCAGCGCAAAATCATGTACCGATGGTACTTGGTAGCAGCAAAACTACACAAAATATGACCTCAAACCAGCAGCCTGTGCTGGAGGTGTGGGAGGGTGGTAGGCACGATGCTCCACATCTGATGGTCTTGTGATAAAATAAGCCCATTTTGGGAAGAGGTGACCCAATTGCTTCAAAAACTATTGCCTAACCCAAGGTTGGATAATCTGCAGGAATGTATCCTGTCTATGTTACCAGGGGGCATCCCAAAACATATTAGAGTCATTATATACCACACTTTGATATCAGCGAGCCTACTGATTTCTAAGCTTTGGAAAAAACCACAACTCCATCAATAGCCGATCTGATAAGACAATTGGACCAAAACTGGGCATACAAATTAATGACAAGGGCACAATTTGGCAAACGCCCGAGCATACGAGCAGCCCACAGGACGTGGGTAAATTTCACGACACCCACTAATACACAACGGGACACTGACCCGACTCCCCTCCCCCGCCCATAGAGCGAGCGAACAAGCCACACAATACATGATACCTGGAGGAGTATCGAGTACCAAACAATAAACAATGGCGTGTTGCATACACTGGTATAATCATAATCAATCAAGACACACATGTACCTTCAGGAGACAATGCGAATATGTATATAGCCATTTAAGTAAAAACACGCTTCCCTCAAGCATACTTTGATACACACAATCACGCTAAATTAAGACAATGTGTAAAAATGTTAATCATAAAAAGGATGTAACAACTCAAAGCGTTAATAATTTGTACTAAGGATATAAACAACTGGATGTAAAACCAACCAAAGCACCCCTGTATCCTGATTCCCTCTTTTCTCTTCTGTACACCCCCCCCACACTGTTTTATGATATGTGAAAAAAAAATAAACAAACTTCAAGTTTAAAAAAAAAAAAATGATTAATGTATCAGATTTACTAGAAATCTTTCATCAGGACAACTTTTAACATGAAATACATATATATAATGAAAGTCCTGTTGATAGTCAGTTTAAGGACTACAACTTTGACAACCTTCTTAGTATGTAAATAAATATATTTTCTTCACTTGAATACTGGCACTGCAGTATCCCTTCAAAAGATCACCCTAAGCACTATAATCACTTCATCTCACTGAACTGTTTGTGGTACAAAGACTATGTCAGTGCAGCGTATCTTTCTAAAAAGATTTCATTCTGTATCCAATTTTTTTTTTTCTTTGTGTAAGGCCACCTCCCTGGGCTATCATGTAGCCATCTGGAACACTCTCTTCCTGGCAGTATCAGTTTTGTACAAGTTTTGTGTGCTAGTGTGCTAACCCCGATGCTTTTAACATGCTGCCCATAACTGGGTGAGCTATACATGCACAGCTCAAAACTCCAGCTGTGCAGTTCTTAAGGAAATTAACTCTTTAATAAAGAAACAATACATGAAATGTTTTTTTTTTTTGCTTTTGACCTTTTCTTGTCCTAGATGCAGACATCAAGGAAAAACACAAGACACTCTGTTGGGATTTTATGTTCCATCAAATTGCGTTATTCACTAAAGTTCAAATTCAAAGTGATTTTCAAATTTAAGTTCAAAATATTCACATTGAATTCAAGCTTTAGTAAAAGCCTCCCCTCCTGTGCCTGCTGACCTTGTAATGTGGCCAAGCTGCAGACTGCGGGTAGAGGATCTTCTGTATCTTCTACCCTAACTGGCAGGAATTGCTTTTAGCAAGATCCTCTACCCGTTGTCCACTTAACCACACTTCAAGGTCAGCAGGCACAGGAGGGGAGAGTAAGGTGGAATGAGACACAAGGAGTTGTTGGGAGGGAATGAGGCACATGACAGGGCTGTGGGGGGGACAAGGAACATGGAAGGGTTGGGGAGGATGAGACACGCTGAGAGGTTGGGGGTTATAAGACACATGAAATAGAATAGAAACAGAGGCTTCTCTGTGAGAAGCCTCTGATTGGACAATTCTCAATGAAGTGACTAAAAGTCATACAAATTGCAGCTTTTTTAGACTGTTCCAGACTTTAACCCCAATGAATACATACATAAAAATATGCATGCATGTATTCATTGGGAGTATTTATACTAAACTGTGCTTTGTTTGTTTTTTCAAGGGTGGACTGATCCATTAAAATATATGTCTGATTTACTGGATGAGGCAACCAATTGCTAAACACCTTGAATGGAATATAACTCCAATCAACCTGGTCAACTGGTTGGCTGATTAAAACAAATAATGCTCAACAACTTAAAGGGCTAGTTCAACTTAAAACACTGTTTCTAGAAAATACACTGTTTTGGGTCAGGGACCATACACCCGAGACTGCAGTTCTTATTCTTCTTACATCCTCACAAAAAATACTGCTATTTAAAAATAGAGAAACTGAACTACTAATTGCTATATCAACTTATAGTTTTTCCATTAAATGCACGGTGCTCCAAGTTTAAAATGATTTAACTTAATGTAACTATATTATAGCTGATCGAACAACAACCTTTAAACTACAAAAAACTATAATGAAACTACAATACGCAAAGGTATACAAGGTTAGTTTAGACACATTCACAGGTCACTTTCTTCTCTGTAACTGGTATATTATGTCAGTTTAATGACTACTAAATTTTAATAGTGAGAGACTCTTGGTCATGACCCAAAGCTAAACCAAGATAAACAATATTAAATCTTAACAATTGCTAAGAGGTATAGCATTTCCGTGGAACAAACAACATTATTCCAGCTTATTGCACTTCATGCCCAAGTAAACAATGACCTTAAGAAAGAAAGTATCTGACAGAGTCCTAATTATTCAGAATGATCAAGTGATTAGTCAATCATAAATTAATGCAACATCAGCACAAAAAACACACACTTCAGATAATGTGAAGATTGATCATTATTTGTATATATAAACATGGGTTTAATATTTTGCAGTGTTAGGTTTGATGTTGGTTTACAAATTACTCTCTCTGATTACTGTGTACTTCAAACCAAGTTCTTACAGTTCTTCCACCTGCAGAATAGTGAAATACTGCTGAAATCGACACTGGAAGCTAGATTGTTAGAATTGTTTTTGTAACTGGTCACCAGAGTCTTAAAAACATTAAACCTCTGCACACCATGCACACCATCTAAGAGGGAGAAAAAAAAATCCCTACTCCACTCACTTGATCACCAGAAACTGACCCAAGACCTTTTCATCTCCAAACTGCCAAAGGTATGCAATGGAGGGGAAGCAGAGGTAACTGCTATGAACATTGCTTATTACTATCATGTAGTGTCTATTGTTACGGTACCTCCAGTAGTAAATGCACAAACCTCCGTTTAGTGAATGCTCCCCGTTCGCAATAATGTGGTCTGGTAGCGTATGCAGTATAACCATGCGAACCGCCAGCGAGCTCCAAATGCACGAATCGCCACTAGCAGCCGAACGGCAATAGTTTCCAAGCGGCAAATAATCCTAATAAGCAGTCTCTAGTCGCCGGTAATAAAATCCCCTCAATAACGAGACCAAGCTCCGCTTTGAGGGTAAAACACGAACTGAGTTTACTGTGGGCTACCTGCCTGTATTTATGCAGGTCTCCCACTTGGTGGACACTCCTCTAGGGGACTAAATGGGAGACTGGAATAACAGAAGGACATGGGGACATTTTGGACATACATCCCCACAATATTCCCAGCATGCATCACAGTTTCCTCCCCTCTGCTCGGGAGATAATTGGGAAGTAATTCAATTATCTCCCAGAGCAGAGGCAAATCACCATTTTAACTCAAAGTTATAAAACACATTAAAATCCATAACTTTATGACTGCCGAACATATTGCATTCGTATAACATATCCCCAGATAGCCTGGATCTGAGTGCATACTATTGGCGAATAGCGCTCAGATCCCACACACATAGTTCAATCGTCATGGAGTCAAAGTCTATTACAGTTCTTCGGTATGCGATTGACTCCATGGGAAGTCCATTCGTGCTGTTAACTCTCCCGAACGGCCGGCATTCGTATGCTTTTGTCGATTGGGAAGGGGAGGTTGACGGCTTCAGCGGTGTTCGGTTGAAAAAGTGTCCGTTTTGAGTTCCATGAAATAATCGTCAAACACCGCTGGGCTTTTGCATAGTTAAAATGGCCGCCGCCTCGTGGTCGACATACAAATGACGACCACCCTGTATTCGGTTTTAATTGAGAAGTGTCTGTGGTTAACCGCAACGTTCTAATTGGGATCAATAGGTTAACCAGCAGCACACTTCTCTTCTGGGTGGCCGTCCGTTCGGTAGTCGCGTTCGACAAAAAAATACATTCCCTTAATCAAGGCATACGAATGGGGGAAATTCATGCAAAACGGCAAAACAGACGAACACAGCAATTTTAGTCCATACGGATGGGTCTGTCACATCTATTTTTCAAAAAATGGGATTATAAAAACAGGTTTCAGTGGTAAACTCCAAAAATGGCATTCATAACTGCCGCATATGTCCATTGACATAGCAATTAAGATTAAACATAAAGAAACAGAAACCTCTTAATTCTTGTTAAAATAATACTCCGTACACCTAAAGCACTTTAGTTTGTTGAAGACAGCCACTAGAGGCTGGCTTAACCCCAAATGTAAACATAGCAGTTTCTCTGAAACTGCTGTTTGCATCTGAAGGGTTAAAGCTAGAAGGACCTGGCATCCAGACCACTTCATTGAGCTGTGGTCTGGGTGACTATAGTGTCCCTTTAAGCCACTATAAGACACACTGTCTGAGGTATCTGTATTTCAGTAGTGGAATGTACCCCTGAGAGTAGTAATCTATAATCTGCTTTTATTTAGATGTTATAAACATTGACTTCATTAATAGTGTTCCTGAGTGGAGGAATGATACAAACATATGATATTATGCACTCCACCAAAACTTCTTCATTGTCTGGTGCTTGTCCAGCCAAAATACAAAAAATATAGAAGGATAGCACTGCAGGGAATTGTAATAAGACTTAGCTTTTATTACCTTACTTTAAAATAATATCGACGTTTCAGCTTCATTCCCCCAAGCTTTCATCAGGACAAATGTGCATACAGAATCACCCAACATATATAGCTTAGAAAACACACTTACTTACCTCCACCTGTGATGCAACCTACTCCTAGGACGCCACGTGGCGTCAGGCTCTATGATGCGGCCTGGGGACGTTGCCATAGCAATATATAAACATTGTAACGGAATCTACACATAAGTAAAAATAGAGTTACAAAAGCATGTAAATGAATAAAGACAGATCACTGTAAGCAGTATTAGTCTAATTAATAAGCAATCAACATTTTAACAGTATCACCTCACTACGAACAGATACTTCGAAAATAGAACAATATAATAAAGTTAGTGGAATCACCATAGGAAATAAACATGCATATTGCAATTGTTCTTAGTTAACCAAATTGCTGTTACACGGCAGAGGGATGACTTCAGTGTCACCGTTAATCCACTTTAATCCATCCAATGTTCTGTGTTTGAACTGTAAAGAGGCTGTTGTATATATTGTAGGGAAGAAAGTTCTTTCTATTGATGGTTCCTCTGATCCAATATTCGCTTGGTAGCATTTGTCAAGTGCCTTCTGTAGTGTTAAATCACTATATCCTAGTTGTCAAAATTTCTCGCACATAATCTGTAACTTCTCTTCTGCAATATCCTTATCAGAGTTTCTCCTCAGAATCCTGAGAAACTGAGAATATGGTAATGAACACTTCAAGGCTTTTGGATTGAAACTGTTCCCCTGTAATAGAGTATTCCTGTCTGTGGGTTTTTAATATATAGCGTATATATACATGCTTAAATTGCTCCAGAATCAGCCATTTCGCTAATGGTTCCAAAATTCCTTAAACGGCTGATAAGATCGGCCGGCCAGGAGGATTCTCAAGATTTTTGTGGACTTTAGGGAGCATATAAATAACTGGTGTCCTAGGTTTGGTCTGCTGTAGGTAATTATAGAGATCTTGGTCAAGCAAATTCTGCACCATACCTCTCTGCAAACGATAATATGTTGTCTGATGTTGTCTGTACAGGGAGTGCAGAATTATTAGGCAAATGAGTATTTTGACCACATCATCCTCTTTATGCATGTTGTCTTACTCCAAGCTGTATAGGCTCGAAAGCCTACTACCAATTAAGCATATTAGGTGATGTGCATCTCTGTAATGAGAAGGGTGTGGTCTAATGACATCAACACCCTATATCAGGTGTGCATAATTATTAGGCAACTTCCTTTCCTTTGGCAAAATGGGTCAAAAGAAGGACTTGACAGGCTCAGAAAAGTCAAAAATAGTGAGATATCTTGCAGAGGGATGCAGCACTCTTAAAATTGCAAAGCTTCTGAAGCGTGATCATCGAACAATCAAGCGTTTCATTCAAAATAGTCAACAGGGTCGCAAGAAGCGTGTGGAAAAACCAAGGCGCAAAATAACTGCCCATGAACTGAGAAAAGTCAAGCGTGCAGCTGCCACGATGCCACTTGCCACCAGTTTCGCCATATTTCAGAGCTGCAACATCACTGGAGTGCCCAAAAGCACAAGGTGTGCAATACTCAGAGACATGGCCATGGTAAGAAAGGCTGAAAGACGACCACCACTGAACAAGACACACAAGCTGAAACGTCAAGACTGGGCCAAGAAATATCTCAAGACTGATTTTTCTAAGGTTTTATGGACTGATGAAATGAGAGTGAGTCTTGATGGGCCAGATGGATGGGCCCGTGGCTGGATTGGTAAAGGGCAGAGAGCTCCAGTCCGACTCAGACGC